ATTCACTAGATAAGTTCTCACTTGGAAAATACAAGCTATCAGAGCACAGTGACACTGAACCATCCACATTCAAACCAGAATTTACCAGGAACTGCAACATCAGAAACAAGAGACTGGGAACAGAGATAATCTGTTCATAGTATTCTGAAGCACTTGCTCTTTAAAACTCTGTAATTGTGGCCATTCCACAGGGATTAATGAGTCCACCAAAAAAAGAAAATGCCTTTGCAGAGGCAAATAGTACGAGTACAATATTTTCATTGATGGAAATCTGCCCCCAAAACAAATGCTGTTTCTCAGGATCCTATAGCTAACAAATCTGTCTGGACAAATGGAATGTGAATTCTGGCCAGAAGAATTTTAAGTGTATTTATGGTATTTTTCTGTTTTATATTTCGGTGGTTGACTCATTTTATTCCCATCCAACGTTATTAATTTAATTACTTTCTAATTGACTTTTCAAGAGTTATTTTGTATTTGCATTCAGAAATAAATGTTCAGCTTGTTCTCAGTTTTTCCTGGGTCAGTTTGACTCATAAGATGATGTGAAGTGAGAGCAGATTACTGTTGAATAGAGGCACAGTGCCACCTCCTCTTTTTTTGTTCCTGATGCCTCCAAGAGCCCAGGCAGCACCCTAGGCAGAAGTGTCAGGTTAATGGAAAGTAACTTGCATTCCATGACACTGTGCCTGGTTCAGCTATGGGGGAACATGAACTTGGGAGTGTTACAGACTCCCAAGCTTGTGGTCATGGGCAAGTCCTTTAACTTCTCTTAATACTTCCTTATTTATGATTGATGATATATAGATATCACCAGATTACTGCATAAAGTTTGTGGGAAATGTAGTTAAAGTTTACTTTAGTGGAAAAAGTGAAAATTCATTTATAGTTTTTTCTATTATACATTTCCCATTAATTTTTTTTTTTTTTGGAGAAGTTTTTGCTATAGGGAATGTGCGTTTGCCAGACAGACAGACAGAGAGAGAGACAGAGAGATAGAAAGCGAGAAATCACCCCCCAGGGGGATGGCCACGCCACAATCCCTTCTCCTCCACTCTCCCCTCGGGATCTTGGGCACGCACGCAAACGCGCCTGGCGTGAGTTTTAAGCAACCGGGTCTGGGCCTCGCACTGCGGTCGACTACGTGGAAATTCAGTGACATAGCCATTATGCTAACTGCTGGTCCCCTCCCCCCATTTCCCTCCCCCCATTAATTTTTTGAAGACTTTTTCTCTAGACTCACACATGCACCCATATTCATCTTACAAAGCTGTTGTAGGGATTAGTAATGATATAAAGACTCTGGCATGGTGGGTAGAGTTGTGATTTCCTTCCTTAGAACAGTGCCACTCAAAGTTTGGCCTGCAGGCTGGCTGTCAGTCTGCTAACTGTTGTTATTCTGCAATTAGATAAAGCTTGCACCAGGATATAAATCCTCTATATTACTAAATACACTGTTCAGTGCAGCTGACATTTATTTTTCATGGCAAGCCTTCCTCGATGAAGGAGGCATTGCACGGATTTGCATCTCCAATGGTGCAATTTCCTTATGGCATTGTGTGGTGGCACATGGCCTAGAACAGCACATACATAAGAAAGCAGCAGCAGAAACAGACCTCGGAGCGAGGGCATTGGATTAGGATCATTGGCTGAGGACATTTATGTAACTCATTTAACCTTTCCAATTGGGTTTCCTTATCTTAAAAATAAGAATTGATTTTTGGCTCAAATTAACTGTACTCACACACAGGTACACACATATGTGGCATAGTGGTTAAGGAATTAGACTCCCACATGGCTGACTACGGTTCAAACCCTGACCCGGAGGCTTGAACTTTAAGCCAGGCATGTATGCAAGATATGAAGGGAAAAAGTGGAGAACGGATGCAACATGGCCATCCCCCCTGGGGGATAATTTCTCATTTCTGTCTCTCTATATCTCTCTGTCTCTCCAGTGAGTGCACATGCCCTGTAGCAAAAATCTCTCTCTCTCTCTCAAAAAAAAAAATGTCTGCTAGGTGGATTAGTATTCAGAGGTCTCAGTTCTCTTTCTACTTGAGCAAATAACTTAACCTTTATTTTAAAAATATTTAATTTTATATAAAAACATTTTAACTGAAAATTCAGATTGTATATATTTGTTATATCCAACATGAGGTTTTGAAACATGTACATTGTGAAAGGGTTAAATTGAGCGATAATAATTAACATTAACATTAATAAAGAACATTAATTACTTTTTTGAATATGTATTATCTTATATGTTTTATCTTTAATCTATACTCTTAGTGGTTTCCAAGAATATATGACATTATCATTAATTATAGTCACCATACAATAAATCTCTGGAAGTTATTGCTTCTATCCAACTGAAATTTTGTGCCCTTTGACTAACATCTCCCCATCTCCTTCCTGACATCTCTGTAACACCACTCTACTCTCTACTATTATGAATTTAACTTTCTAATAATCCACATGTAACTGAAATCATACAGAATTTGTCTGTCAGTGACTGGCTTATTTTGTTTAATATAAGTCCTGTATGTTCATCCATGTTATCACAAATGACAGTTACCTTTTTTTAAAAGCTTCTTAAAAATTTATTTGCTTTTTATAAACAAAATCTTTCTGTGCTATGATCCTCTTGCCTCAGTCTCCTGAGTAGCTTAGACTATAGGTACATGCTACCATGCCCCACTTTTAGGGTAGGCCAGGAATCTAGCCAGGTTAACCTTTGTGTTCTACCATGCCAGGACCAGGATTTCCTTCTTAGAGGCTGAATAGTATTCCACTGTGTATATATATACCATATTTTCTTAATCTTTTTGAATTATAAATTTTCAGCCTGTAAAATACGATTAATAATATCTATTGCAGAGATAATGGCAGATTAACTGAGATAATGTCTATAAATATCATTGGGACCAGCAGTTGGCATAATGGCTATGTTGCTGGACTCCCATGTAGTCGACCACGGTTCGAGTCCTAGACCCGGCGGCTTAAACTCATGGTGGGTGCGTGTGTGTGCGTGCCCAAGATCTCGAGAAGAGAATGGAGGAGAAGGGATTGCAGCGTGGCCATCCCCCCTGGGGGGTGATATCTCACTTTCTGTCTCTCTGTCTCTCTCTGTCTTTCTGGTGAGCACACATGCCCTTTAGCAAAAACCTCTCCATATACATACATACATATATATATATATATGTTATATATATATAAAATAAATAAATTATTTTTTTTAATTGCCAGAGGATGCCTGCAATCACTGGAGAGAGAAAGGGAGAGAGAAAGCACTTCCAGTGGAGTGTGGTCATGCTGCAATCCTTTTTCTTCTATTTCTATACCCCACTGGAGTTTGGGGCATGCACACATATGTGCCTGACATGCTTTTCAAGCTGTCGGGACTGGGATTTCAACTGTGTCAGCCATGTGGCTCTGGGTGTACCACTACGCTATATGGCTTTTCCATCATTTATATATTCTAAATAATAATTTAAGTGTTATTTTCTTCTTCAGTAATAGCCTAGGAAAGACAGAACAGTAGAGTGTGATCATGGGAAAATACATAGTACATTTGCCACCTTGCCCCCTCTCACAGTAGACCTTACTAACCCATCATGTCACCACTTCCTGCCAACTCATGAAAATTTCATCATAGAACCTTTTTCTCTCAGTTCTCTAACCTAGGCAAACACTGCTAAATCATCTAGGTTGGTAATCAGGCTGCTGGAGTATGGTGTTATGGAAAAAGCAGGGACTCTGGGGAGGCTTGGGTAAGATTTCCAGCCAACTCTAAAAGTTGGGCATGGTGGTATGTACCTATGGTTCCAACAGCTAGGGGGACTGAGTCAGGAGGATTGAGACATAGTGAAATCCTGCCTCTCTCTCTCTCTTTATATCTTTTTTTTTTCCCTTAAGAGAGAGATTTTTGCTATAAAGTGCATGTGCTTGCTGGAGATAGACAGAAAGCGAGAAATCACCCCCCAGAGGGAACGACCATGCTGTAATCCCTTCTCCCTCTATTGTCCTCTTGAGATTCTGGGCATGGCCGGTGTGAGTTTTAAGCCACCGGGTCTGGGACTTGAACTATGGTTAACTATATAGGAGTCTAGTGATGTAACCATTAAGCCATCTGCTGATCTCTCTCTCTCTCTCTCTCTAAAGTAAGGATAGAGTTAGAGAAGTCCTGGAATCAGACCTTAATTCTTCTACTTACTAGCTATTGAGGGAAGTTATCTGGCTGAGTTCAAATTTTTATCAACTATAAAATAAGAGTTGTGAGACTAATTTTACTAAACTGTAATATGGATTAAATTAAATTACATACATAATACATGGTAGATGCTCACTTTCTATTCTGATTTCATCCATCTCTCTAAAATGGCAAACTTCAGTGCGTAGCATCCAGATTTAATACTGTTGAGCTAAGGATGACTCAGGGATAAATGTTTTCGGAGTTCAATGACATACAACCAAGGTGCTGAGGATAGATTGTGTAGACACCAACCAAGGGCATATGCCATAAGATTCTGCTGGGAATTTTACAAAAATCCTAACATTGAATGACTGAAAATATACTCTTACTTATTTTGTTCATTTATTTATTTATTTTTAGGGTGAACGTGGAGAATGTGGTAAACCAGGAATAAAAGGTGACAAAGTAAGGAACATGTTTTTAAAATGCTAACAATTGTGACTCCTTTTCAGCTGAGTTTCCTTAACAGGAAATTCTTGGAATGAAGGGTATGGATAGCACTACTAGAGTAGGAAAGTCAGTGGCTCAATTTTCACATCTGTAAAACACAAAGAAAGAGAAAACAAAGTGATTTCTAACCTGGTTAATGGAACCTCCAAATGCTTTTCTAATGGATAGTTAAGATTTCTTTTTGTGATACCCTAACCCTTGAGCCCAGGTCTACTGGATGTTTTGATGGAAAGAATAATTTAAAGGACAAAACCAATTCCTGTTTCAGTTGGATCAGACACAAATTGCTTTCCAGATGTAAACACTGAGAACAGACACTTTCCATAGTGGAGTGAGAAATTCTATGAAATAAGAACATGAAATTATTATAAGCAAAGTGGCAAAATTAGACTTAGGGATTGGAAATTTTGAAAATGCAGCAAGCCACAGACAATCAGGTAGGTATTTACCTTTAATTAAAAACTAAAAATAGTTAAAGTACTTAAAGTGGAAGTAATATTAATTATGTTAATGAGTTCTTTAATACACCAAAAATATATAGAGAATACATCTAAAACATAATGAGAAAGTTTCCAAAGAAAGTATAGACTAAAAATAAATAGTTTTGGGGGCTGGTAAATGGTATGGTGGTTAAGATGCTGGGCTCCCACATGGCTGACCACATGGTTTGAGTCCCGGACCTGGAGGCTTACTTTCTCCCTCTCCTCTCCCTCTCTGTCTCTCTCTGGTCAACATAAAAATGATAATAATAATAATGATAAATAAAATTAAAATTAAAAAAATAAAATAACTAGTTTTTATTATAGCTAAGAACTATGAACAGCATGCCACTAACATACTAAACTCTTTCAATATCTATATTATAATTGTGGGAGGGAGTAGGAGAGAAAAGAGACAGAAGGTTTTCTTTTATTTTGGAGAGGTTTTTGCTATAGGGCATGTGCAGTCGCCAGAAAGACAGAAAGAGACAGAGAGACAAAAAACGAGAAATCACTGCCTGTGGTGATGACCACACCACAATCCCTTCTACTCCATTCTCCTCTCGGGATCTTGGGCACACACGCACACGCGCCCAGCCTGCATTTAAGCTGCCAGGTCCGGGACTTGAACTGTGGTCAACTATGTAGAAGCCCAGAGACACAGCTGTTATACCAACTGCTGGTCCCGAGAGACAGAAGATTAAAGGAGGATGAAATAATGACACTGGCCCCTGGAACTAAATCATGGAGTTAAAGGTCTAGTGGATCTGCAAAATGTAGGCTTGGTAATTCTCTGGCAAAATGAAAACTGATATTGAATAAGCTCTTCCTGGAGGGTAATTGATAATGGAAGATGGACATGAGTACCTGGAAATACAAAAAAAAAAAAAGGATACAGAATAGAAATAAAGTCAAAACTATATTTAGGAAAACTTTATGAAATAAAAAAAAATGGTTGACAAGGAATTAATATATTCCACTGACTAGATACTAGCGATTGTTACATTTCCCATTATTTTCTGTGCCAAAAAGAAAGAAAAAACACTGGTAATTATAAATACAAGATGCAATTGATTGTAAGATGTATTCCACTGTTGGAGATGTAAAATAGTGAAAAAATATGTGTCACAGATTCAATGAAATATAATGTCTTTTTTCATGAACATTTATTTAAAAACACACAAGAAACATAAAGAGACACAAAAGAAAAGATAAATGTTAAAGTAATATAGTAATAATATTATAAAATATCAATGGCTAATAAATAAGGAAATATCCCAAAACACTAATAATTGATTAAAACATTATCATATTATTTTACTTATCAAATTAGTAAACACTGTGAACTAATATTCAGTGTTGGTGGGAATTCCGAAGTTGAAGATGCACTCTCTCGTTCTCAGTGAGAATGGACAACATAAAAGCTTATAGAGAATGTTTCTTTCTCCCTTTTATCTTTAAAGACAAAGGACCGAGAGAGCCTTAAATGTGATTATAGTCCCTACTTCTAGGAAGCTATCCTTAAGAAAGACTCAGGTATTGGACAAGATTTATAGATATAGATGCTCATAATAATATTAGTGAAAATATAAATACTTAAATGTTAAAACTAGGAAAATGAGTAAAGTAAATAATGATAGATTTCTATTTTTTGAATCTTATTCTGTTCCCGGAGAGATTTTTTAAAAATTATTTATTTAATTTTATGAACGGAGAGATTTTTAAAAAATTATTTATTTAATTTTATTTGTTATTATTATCTAAATTTATTATAGTGTTTGTGTGCAAGAGAGAGAGAAATTAAGAAAGCAAGTCACCAGGTCTGGGACTTGAACTGTGGTTGACCATGTGGGAGTCCAAAACCTGAGCTACCACATCACCTGTTGGCCCCTATGGAGAGTTTTTAATGACATGGAAAATATTTTTGATACATTATAAAGCCAAATTGGAAGAACACAAAATTGGATATATACTTATATCAAGTTATTTCAAGAAAAATCTATTGGGACTTAACTAGATGAAAATATGCCTAAAATGTTAAACACATTGGCATCTGTGTGATTTAAAAAAATTATTTCTTTACCTTTTAAAATAATTATCAAAGCAACTCTATGATCAACAGAATATACTTTGGTAAGCAAAAAAAGTGGAAGTCTTGGAAAAGAAATAAAACTATATTATATTCCCATAAAAGTCAATGTTAAAGGGTTTTCTAGTTATGGAACATACTGAAGTGTTTTCTGTTAGACATGTTGAATATCAACAATGTTTTGCCAAGTCCCATGTCTTCAAGGTGGGCAAAAGAGTGATCTAGATATAGAAACTCACTAAATTATTAAATTAACTGGCATTGTCTTGGTGGAAGGAAACAATATTCCACCAAGTTTACAGACTTCTAAGGAGTCTCCCTTAAGTTGAATTCCTTTACTTTGATCAAAATGTCAATATATAGGCCAAGAACTGTCTTCTAAAATTGTATGTTTATGGTGTTTATTTACTAAAGGAAAGTTTGAACCCCAGTTGACTTCTTTATTAGGCTCATTTTAATTTGTTGCTTTGATGGTTGGATAACTGGGGAAAACTATTACCCCTTCTCTACCTCTTAAAATCACTGTATTGTGAAGGTAAATATTTAGAGCAATTTGTCATTACTTTTAATTCACAGGGATTCCCAGGGCCATATGGACCAAAGGGACCCAGAGGACTTCAGGTAAGAAGGCTAAAACTAAATCTAGGTCTGGATTGGAATCACTTGGGAAGCTTTTAAAAATCCATTTTTCCCACTTGCATCTTTTACCAATTAAATCAGAATGGGAACTAGATCTAGGCATCAATAGTTTTAAAGATTCCCAGATGACTTTAATGTGTGACAAAGTTTGGGAACCACTTCCCTAGTGTTTAGAGTTACTAGCTCAAGGTCCATAAAGGGAGGCACTAGCATGCAAGTCTTAGTGAGTAGCTAAAGGGATGAAGTTAAAAAATTAGAATCTGAAAAGACAGGAAAAATAAAAGTAAAAGCAGATGTAACTGTTTTTGCATTGCTACTACAAGATGATGGAAGAGCTTTGCATTTTATCTAAGTTACAGAATTTGTGTTGCTGCATCACTACCAATCATTAATGCTCAATAATATAAAATGATTTTTTTTTTCCAAAGGGTGTATGTGGTTGCCAGAGAGACAGAAAGAGATGAAAAGAGAGAGAAAGAACCCCAGAATGGAAAGTGGTCATGCTGCAATCCTTTCTCTATTTCTCCATTCTTTCAGGATTTGGGGCACACATGCACATGTGCCCTGAATGTTTTCCAAGCCTCAGGGTTCAAACTGCAGTTGGTCATGTAGCATCTGGCTTCCTTAACCAGTAGGGCATAGGACTGACCCATAAGATATTATTCTTTAAAGCATTTATTTAAGTTTAGATAAGTCCCATGGATTTCATTGAAAGTAATTTGAATCAGCCCCTATTATAACTTTAGAAGAGGCACACCCCTAAATTGGGCCTGATCCAAATTATTCTAGTATTGCATAAAGTCTACAGAGGATTATACTTATACACAAGGTTTTGTAGACAGCATCTAATTAATCATCAACTCCTTTGCTGTAGCCGGTAGTTATTAGGACAGGCCAGTAACTCTGGTTACAGTATGGCCTTTGAAAGCTCTCACTTTCGTTGTAGATACTTTTGATATTTTTTAAAAAAGTTGTTCAATAGACAAAATCTTTCTTAAAAAAAGAGGTCCAACACAGGAATAAGCTTGGAAATACGGGTTAAAAAATTAACACATTATTAATAACACATTTGCTCTGACCTTAAGTGTTATTTTAGAAGCTGATCAGCTTCTAAATTCATTTCACAGCTGAGTGTAATTTCAGCAGAGCTTTGCGTTCTCTAGCCTGACTTCGAAACTCTGGGATCTCTATAGAACCTTAAGAATGATTCATTTCTGGTTGACCTCTTGTACACATAACTAATTCTTGGTTTTCACCTTGGAGCAGGGCCTTAGTGGACCTCCAGGCGATCCAGGCCCAAAGGGATTTCAAGGCAATAAGGTAATCTTACCCACTGGTTAAAAATAGGCAGAATGCCTTTTCTCTGGTGTGCTATGGTAATGCATATTTTTATTAAGAAGAAGTGAATGGACACTGCTATGATTTGAATGTTGCCTCTAAAACTCACGCTGAAATTTAATTGCCATAGTGATGGTATTAAAAGATGGTACCTTAAAAAGAAATAGATGGTACCTTTAAGAGGCAATTAGATCATGAGACTCTGCCCTTACTTATGGATTAATGTTGTTATCCTGGGCTTGTTCCTAATAAAAAGGATCAATTTGGCTCCTTTTCTGCTTTGTTTGTGCACCTGCTTGCCCTTCTACTTTCCACCATGGGATGTTGCAGCTCAAAGGCCTCATCAAATGCTACCTCCATGCTCTTGGACTTCCAAGCCTCTTGAACCATGAGCCAAATAGTCTGTTCATTATAAATTACATGGTGTGGTATTCTATTCTAGCAGCAGAAAATGACTAAGACAGACTCTTTGGGGAGAGTTTGGAAATACAGAATAATGTGCAAATACATACACAGAATCAAATTCAAGTATATGCAGAAAATCAGCAGCATAGCTTTTTCACTTATTGTATTATTCAAGGGGGCATTATTAAATATAAGCCATTATCTTACTCCTGATCCTTAGTCATTCTATGGCTCACTAAAAACTGAAAAACAGTAACAAGTCACAATTCATATCATTCTCTTCCCCACGTGTCATGCCAACTGAATGTATAGTTTATAAGGGAAGACAATTTATAACTGTTATACCAACAGAAATCAAGTATATTTTATTGCAGGACAATCTCAACTGTCAGTACCATGTTTATAATGCCATTACGCAGGTAACCAAGCAAGACAGATAGAACCAAATGTATAGAACCAAAAGATGCTGATAAGAGGGATCTGTAAGAGACCTGTTATATGGCTGCTTTTGTAATGAGAATGGCCACTAATTTGCTAAATGCAAGCTTTTTTAGTTCCTTTTTAACTCTCCTCAGTGTTTAGTAAATTACACAGGTATACATTACCTATTAAATGGTGTTGACTTAGTGACTGGAGTTCTGTGAGTTGTGGCAGAAATAACAGAAGATGCTATCCCAGCTGACCCTAGATAAAGGCAATCTTTTAAGGATGATATTGAATTTAAGTTGTTGGGAGCATTTGGGTTACTTGAGTGCTCATTTTCCAGAGAGAGGAAAGGGAATGACAGATACACTATTTTTAATGAGATAATGACAGCGTGTGATTTCCCAGGCCACTTTTAATTAGCAAATTAAAATAGAATAGGCTTCTCCAAGGGATTGTGCTTAAGCTTCATCTGGGGAAACTGTCATTTCTAGTGCTTGCCTATGATTAATTCTCTCTGGAAGAAAGAAATGACCCTGAGGAATACTGAGTGGATGTTTTCAGAAAATTGCTTTGGCTATAGGTAGAAATCCTGTGGAAAGAATAAACAAAACAAACAAACAAACATATATATTTAGACATTCCACAAGTATTTCTAGAATTCTTTGGTTCCCTAAAATGATAATTTTTACATATCTATGAAAAGGAGGCTTAAAATCAGGAATCAGGACTGGTGTTTGCAACAGTGATAGAATTGAATCAAGGGACTTCAAAAAGTTTATGAAAGAATGAAATTAAAGTGTAAGTTAATTTTAGGAAAAAATACTTTTGAGGTGAATGCATAGTTTTATTTTCCAGAAATTCTTTGAAGAACTTTTGCAGAATGTGCAGACTACCAGGGATGTTTGAGATCACGCTGGCCCAATATTTTCATTTCAGAAATGAAAAATGAAAACCTGGGATCAAATCACTTTCCTGAAGCAGAGGGACAGCCATGTTCCTCTGGCTGTGTAGGGTATGGGGAGGTGCTGGAAAGAAGGCAGTGCAAGCATCTTTGGTGAAATTTCCTAAATATTTGGCCTGAGATATTTGCAATTTGAGTAGTAAGAAAATTGCATCTGTTTCTAGTGTACTCTGTCTGGGAGTATGGTCTGTGAGAAGGTGCATTTTTACTTAATTATAATATTTATCTGAAGGTGCAGGAAAAGAAGGAAGAGAATCACCTGGGGAAACAGAAAACAATGCGAATTAAAATGTAAAAACATTGTATCTCTTTTAAAGATTATCTTTAAAAAAATTTTATTTCTTTCATTCATGAGAATGAAAAGGAAAAAATGACAGCATCAGGCTCCCACTTAGCAATACCTTTCTAAGTCTTCTAGTCAGCCAGGACCATGCATGTGTGTACCCAGCATGGGCAGGTCAAATGCAGAAGTAAATCTGCAATTTTCATACGGATTCAGCATTGCTTTAGTGGTGTGTAAATATTGTACCATTAAGCTGGCCTTCAAATATTTTATCTCTTATGAGATAATGAAATAGAAATCTTTAGGCTTGTAACATTTACAGAGGTTCCATGAGAATTTCTAGATGAGAGTTGCCTGTATCTTTGAATTTATGAATGGTCTCTCTCATGGAATACAACCACTTTCTTTTGCCCTAGGGGTTGGATTTTCTTCATCACAGGATTTTTTCAGAAAAGGTGGCCAAAGAGCAAAAAGAAAAAAAATAGCATGTGCTAAATCAAGGAAAAATGTGCTTCTGGCTCAGTTTCAGGAATCATTTGTCATTAAAACTTTCCACATGTAAAGTAGCTTCTATTCTTTTCTGAATGCCCTTGTTGCCTTAGCAACAAAACAGATATTTCTCAGAATGAAGCCTTGGCTCAGAGGCCACCTCTCCCACCCATGAGGGTCATATAGTGGCATTCATAGGAACATCCCCACAATCTCTAACATCAATTAAAATTATAATCATGCAAGTGCCTCAGAAGCGAACTGAAAACATAACTCAGTAGAGATTTCTGGGGAAAGACTGAGCCCCTTAAAACCCAACACCACTGACTGACTCATATGGGGATGTGGTGGTCTAGGTTGCAATCTGTAGCTGACTGTAGAAACTGCCCTCTAATAACTAGGAAGAATGGATCAAGATTGGCAGGCCTTTCTAGTTGCAGAGAACAAGTTACCAAAATTAATTTTGAACAAATAAACACAGTGGGACACTGGGTGTGCCAAGTTCATATTAGATCATTTTTGCCATCTCTTGCTGTTTTTCTGAGGTTATTTCTGAAGGATATTTCCTTCTCAAGCTTCATGCAAATCTACTCTTTCCAAAACTGTCTCTGAGCTCCTGGCAGGAATGACTGCCAGGCATGCAGTGCAGTATGGGATAATTTGAAGTATTATAGCATTAGAGCTTCAGTGCTAGGGCCTAAAGAGTTCTAGACGATGTCCCTTATGTTTTCCCAAGGTAAAGTACCATGTAGTAGTCCTCAAATAATTTAAAAGAATACTGTGATATTCTTTTTTTTTTTGAGAGAGATTTTTGCTGTAGGATCCATGTGCTTGCTGGAGAGACAGTGAGTGAGAAAGTGAGAAATCACCTCCAAGGGTGGGATATCCACACCATAATTTCTTCTCCTCCACTCACTTCTCAGGATTCTGGGCATGGACACAAATGTGCCTAGTGTGAGTTTCAAGTCACTGGGTCCAGGACTCGAACTGTGGTTGACCATGTGGGAATCTAGCAATGTAACTATTACACCATCTGCTGGCCCCAATATTCTGATATGCTATTCATTTATCTTGATAGACAATGTTCTCCTTACTCTTAACTCCTTCTATTGTTCTACGCTAGGACATTCATAATATTCCCTGCGTTTTTTCTTTTTTTCCTAAATATTTTCTTCTTGCTCTATATGCAAGTGTAAGAAACTCAAAGTCCTTTTACATATGAGACTTGATCTTACTTCACATTCACTTTAACTTCTGATATGTTGAGAAAACCCATAGAGAAATAGCACCAGTCTAGACTAGTAAAATAGATGGGTATGGTCAGGGTAAATCTCCAGTGAAGCAAATGTTCATCCAAATTGGACAAAAGACCTAATTAATGAGCAAATTGTGAAATATGTTTCAAGAGAAATATATGGGGGAGTAAGTAAATGAAATATTCCAGCGTCTGCACCACACTACAATTTTAGACAGTCTGCTCTTCCCAATCCTACTCAGGCAAGCTTCCATCCCGTTTTTGAGGTTCCCAAGCATAGGAGATGTTTGTCAAGTGGATATCTTAATGAGTATATTAAATAAGCAACATAGAAGTGTATTAAAATTAAAACTGCAAACCTGGTAAACATCCCTGCATAGCATCTGTTTTCTTCAAAATGCTTTATGAAGAGAAATCAGTTTTAGCAGAGGGCTGGTTATTAACCTTTGGCATATGATGCTAGGAAAGCATATGCAGATATTTCTGATAACTGGAAGTGTACTTATCAAGTTTCCATCCTTCCAGCTTCCAGGCATTATATCTCTAAAAATTGCTAGAGTTCCTTTCAACAGAAGGCAATGATAGTAGAATTGGACAGATATGTCTACGTTCATCACTGTTCAAAAAAATCTAAAGATCTAGTGACAGTGTGTCAAAAATAATACTCTCACATCTGAGAGGCTAAAAAATTATTGTATTGGACCAGCAGTTAGTGTAATGGCTATGTCACTGGACTCCCATGTAGTTGACCGCGGTTCGTGTCCCGGACTCGGTGGCTTAAAACTCACACCGGGCGTGTGTGCGTGCATGCCCAAGATCCCGAGAGGAGAATGGAGGAGAAGGGATTGTGGCATGACCTTCACCCCCTGGGGGGTGATTTCTCGCTTTCTGTCTCTGTGTCTCTCTCTATCTGTCTGGTGAGCGCACGCACCCTATAGCGAAAATCTCTCAAAAAAAAAAAGTTTCTTGAGCATTAAATATTCTGGGTTATTGGTTCTTATACTTTCCTCTAAAAGACTTGAAGATTTGAGACTTAATTTTTAATAGATTTATATATACAACTTAGAGTCTCATGTTTTCTATAATGTCAGTATTTTAAAAAAAACATATTTTTGCCATAGGATGCACACATTCACCTGAGAGAAAGAGAGACAGAGAGATAT